AAATATGGATATCCATATTATCTACCTGTTAACTCGTTTTCAATCCATATTAAATACGGGTCGGGTCGGATAATTTATCCATTTTGCATTACCCGTTTTCGACCCCATATTCAACCCGACCCGCCCGTCTGCCGCTCCTACTTGCCACATCGCTTCATCTCTTTAAGTGCCGAAAAGAATAAAGTTATATTTGACTGTCTCTAATACAAGTGAGAACCTCCTTTTTTTTTTCCTTTTCTTTTGCACGTCATTCTTTGAAGTGCACGACTTCATTCAAGAAGCTATGATCCTCGCTTCGCACCACTTCATTGCTTTAAGCACCAAAGCGATGACTTTTAGCAAAACTGTATTTGACCGACCTCTAATGTGCGAACTTCTTTTGTCTTCAGCTCTTTTGGTTTACATTTTGTGTGTCCTTTTGTCTTGCAGAATTGTTAACTTTAGATTTACAAATGAATAAAACAGTGCTTCATTCAGGTGATAAAAGCAGCAAGCAAGTTGCTTTCTTGCGAAGAAAAAAATATTGAAATAAGATGCTCAAAGATCATATAGGTTTCCTTAGAAGGATAAATTCTTTTCTCTTTAAGCTCACTAGTTAACTAAGATGCATATTTGTAGATCAAAACATGCATTATACATATAGGCTATAACCATTACGTTATAATAGTTGATCTGTTTTCTTTTCTTGAATAATAATAGCGCAAACCGTTGGGCCGGATGCAATTTCAGAAGATAGAGTTGTGCTAACCATAAATAATACAGCTATAATATTAAAGCTGCTTCACTCAAATGGTGAGACATCATGGAGAAGAAAAAATGAAGGCACCAAGGAAGACAGAAATACAGGCTACAAGTCTGATTAATAGTGCTTCCACTTACCAACTACCAACAACGTGGAAACGCCCTTTAATTGAACTTTAGCCTTAGCTGGTTGGAGATGGAGGTGCTCTACCAACTAAGCAAAAATGAAGGCACTAAGGAAGACAGAAATACAGGCTACAAGTCTGATTAATAGTGCTTCCACTTACCAACTACCTACAACGTGGAAACGCCCTTTAATTGAACTTTAGCCTTAGCTGGTTGGAGATGGAGGTGCTCTACCAACTAAGCAAAAATGAAGGCACTAAGGAAGACAGAAATACAGGCTACAAGTCTGATTAATAGTGCTTCCACTTACCAACTACCTACAACGTGGAAACGCCCTTTAATTGAACTTTAGCCTTAGCTGGTTGGAGATGGAGGTGCTCTACCAACTAAGCAAGCCTCTCCTCGTCAACTATAAACTTGTAGAACAAAAACAAAAGTACAATAGTAGAACTAAGCAACTATCTACCTTGTGGATTCATAATTTGCGAGAAGACAGCCTCCGTGCTGTGCTCCTCTGACTCCTCACCTTCTCCGCCTTCCTCTGTAATGCTTAACAATTCTGTATGCATCGCATAAGCATCGTTTGCTTTCTGTTCTGCCACCATCTTTGGTCCATCAGGATTATTTTGCATCTGAAGGCAATACTCAAGATTCCATAAGACTGAACCCATTGAAGGGCGATCAGTTCCATGATCAGACAAGCAACTCACTGCTGTATCAACAAATTGCTTCAAACATTCTTGTGTGATCTCCCCCTTAATATGTGGATCCACAATTTCTTTAGTAGTATGTCTCCTATGGCAGTGTAATGCCCAATCTGCTAGACTAACTTGTTCCTTTGGTAGACTAGGATTTAGAGCTGGTCTTCCGCACAGTACTTCATATAGGACAACCCCAAAAGAGTACACATCAGACTTTTCTGTCAGCTGCTGTCTTCTGAAATATTCTGGATCCAAGTATCCAAAACTTCCTTTTACCATTGTACTAACATGAGTTTGATGGAGATTAGGTCCCGTTTTCGATAACCCGAAATCAGAAACCTTTGCTACCCACTTATCATCCAACAAAATGTTTGTAGTTTTCACATCCCTATGGATGATAGTATATCTTGCACCAGTGTGAAGATAGTGAAGACCTCTGGCTGCACCAATACAAATATCCAGTCTTTGTTTCCATGATAAAGGTGGCTTATTGTGCTTATAAAGATGCTCTCTCAATGTCCCATTAGCCATATAATCATACACTAATATCATCTCTTCATTCTCTTCACAAGCCCCAATCAATGAGACTAAGTGCCTATGTCTAAGTTTCGACAGCAATTCAATCTCAGTTTGGAACTCATGAAGACCTTGTTCAGAAGAAGGGTTTGCTCTCTTAATAGCAACACTAGTCCCTCCATCAATCTCTCCTTTGTACACTTTACCAAATCCTCCAACTCCAATCACTAGCGACTCGTCAAAATTCTTCGTACCATGTTTTATCTCAGCTAAGGTGAAGTGCCTACAAAGGCCTCCACCAATGTTGGAAATGTGACTACTGCCACTGCTCTTGCCTGAGATAGTTGTTCTAGTTTCTGTAGTCCTAGAACTACTATAAATTGGTAACCAACCACCTCTACTAGACTTCCCTCCGATGTTCATATTTTTCTTGCGTTTGATAAAAGCAACTACACCAAAAACAATACCAAAGCCAGCCGCCAATCCTACAACTGAACCAGCTATTATGCCACTTTTACTAGATTTATTTGATGCAAATGATGGTTTTGGCTGAGAATCAGTGTCCGGAGGTGGGCCTGGTGATGGAACAGGATTCGGCCCTGCCAAATTCCCTGTTGTGTCATTGATCTTAAAAATCTCTAGTCCATTGAGGATTGAATCATAAAACTCGGCCTTCGTCTTATCATTAGGATGTAAAGCCACCCACATTTCATCACCACCAGGTTGATCTGTGGCATATATTACAAAGTCCTTGTATGCTGGCACACCTTGGGCACTCGTCCACGAAATAACATCAGCCTCTTCCAAAGCAGTCTGATTGTTAATGTATATATTGAATACCCTCTGATTCACTCTTGTCAACTGAAACTCACAGAAATGTAACCTCACGAGATAAGTGAAATTTCCATCAATTTGGAAAATCCAAGTGAGATTATAATTCCTATTAACATCTGGATTTGGCCCCATGGATCGTGCTGTCCTATAAACATCCACCGGAGCAATGTAATTAGGTAGATTAGGAGGATATGAAATTTTGACACTGTTATTAGCTGCAGATGTCACACCAAATGATGCACCAAACAAATATGGTGCGTCATCATACCATATTCTTCCCAGGCCTGAGTCATTATTTGATGGAATATACTGTCCACCAACATTTAACCTGAACATGGTTTGCATAGAAGAAGCTTCTGTTTCCATTGTCTGATCCGAGAACCCCACCATAGGTGCGGCTTGAAAGATTTCTGGCATTGAAATAATCTCAATTCCATTGATAAAGGCAAAAGAGTCCTTGTATACTGATGAAGGGTTAAAGGTGATGTTAAGGGTGTCAGTTTGGAGAGGGACAATAGTGAATTCCCTTATGATATAAGCCTGCGTTAGTGCTTGTGCTGTGATTGAGGCACTGAAGTTATTGAGAAGAGTAAACCCTCCAACAGTTACAGAAAAGAATGAATTGGAGCAGTTGAAATTGTCATAAGTAGAAGGGTAAAAATGAAGTCTGATCCAATGGCGAGATTTTGGAGAAACAGGAAAAGAATACGTGGTTTGAGTCTTGAAAATCCTAGCAGTCATGTAAGGGATATCAGAAACCAATGAAGGGTCTTGGTATTTAGCTTTAGATGTGATTGAATTACCAGAGGGGAGATGTGTGGAATCTGGACTCCAAATCCTGCCATCTGCATCTGTGGCATTACTTGTAGCCCCACAAGCCAAAACAAAGGAATAAGAATTTGAGCCATTTTTAGATGAATTCACCTTGCTTAGGCCGGAACAAAATGTGGTTATGATAACCAGAAATTTTACACAAGACCAAAGTTTCATTGCTGCGTCAAGAATTGGCAATAGATTTCATGGAAAATGAAGGATATATGAGCCATTAAATTTCACCTTTAATGCATTTCAACCGTGCACAAGGGAAAAGCAAAGAAAATGGAGATCAAAGATACAAGTTTTAATCTGATTTTTTTGCTTTTCCAAAGACTTCTTTCTTTTTTCTTTTTCTTTTTTTTTGATTTGTGTTTTTCCTTGAATGAGTATTAGGATGAAGAGACGTTAGATACGGCAAATTAGTGGTAAAAAATGCTTTGGTAACGTCTACCACCTCTTTTCCCTCTGTATTCATTGATCTATTAAATAGGCATTAAATTATATTAATGTAGTCATATGTTCATAGCACAAAATTCTGTGTTGTTATGTGAGATATATTCTCATTGCTTGACAGGTGAATTTATGAACCACTTGTTCAATTAATGAGAGAAAAAAAAAATGCAAAAGTGTTCCAAATTAAAGCATCAAAATTTTACAAAAATATCGACATGTATGCATAATCCTATACGCTTTTTACGAAATGAGAAAGAGTAATATTTTCTGTTCAAACGTTGATAAAAAATTTCTTATCTTAAAGGTATTTATATTTGAAGTGTTATCTTTTACAATATGGAGAATTTATCTGAAGTTGATTCATCATATAAGGCTTTATAGAGTAATGAATTCCTATTAATTTATTGATTTATTATATTCATAGAGTTCATCCAAAAAAAACAAATGTTGAAAAGAATGGCCACCAACAGTTATAAGTGGATAGTAAGTATCCTTCGTTAATAATTAGATGTTTTCGATTCGAACTTTAAGAATAAAATTGTTTTAATAGAATACATTTTATTCCCTAAAATAATATTTCCTTGCGTGAATTTAGATTAATTTAATGGATACCAAACACTAGGTAAGAAATCAAAATAAAAATTAATAAAAAATATAGGATTTAAAAATAAATATCTATTATATAAGTAAAGAAACGGATAAACAAATAAATAATATATTTAATGCAAATTTTTGTTAAATGAAATAAACAAATGTTTTAGAGAATACTTTATGTTTAAACGCATGATTATGATTAATAGTATACATTACAATATGTACATCTATGCTGTAAAAAATCACTCTGTGATGGCATTATCTCCTTTCAACTTCGTCTCGAATGCTCTTTTCTACAGTAATTTCTTTTAGGGTGATAATATAAAATTGACCATCAGCATTTATTAGCGCGATAAAGTGACACAAAACCCCTTAGGGGTCGTTTGGTAGGAGGTATATATAGATATAATGCTGGTATAAAAATTTAATATTACCTTAATACTTTGTTTGGTTAGTAAATCTGGTATAAGTTATCCCGGGATTAAAATTAGTACCGGAATAACATATACCTTGTAGGGATTGGGATAATTGGTGCTGGGATAACTTATATCTTCTTCTTAGAAATTATGCAATTGTCATTTTTAATACAACATATCAAACAGTAGATAAAAAATAATACCAGGATAACTAATCCCAACATAACTTATCCCAGCATAAGCCGTATTCAAACCATTTTACCTTTGGCATACACATTAAGGAAATACGAACACCTAGAGAGAAAAATGTATTACAAAATTAGCCTTAATTAATTATTACCTCGACACATTGTAATATGTAAAAATAAGGGCAAATTTTAGAAAAATAAAATAAATTCCTTATAGATTGTGTAACAACAACACAACAACCCAGTATAATCCCACTTGTGGGGTCTGGGGAGGGTAGTGTGTACGCAGACCTTACTCCTACCCTGGGTTAGAGAGGTTGTTTCCAAATAAACCCTCGGCATCCTTCTCTCCAAGAACTCCTCACCTTGCTCTTGGGGTGACTCGAACTCACAACCTCTTGGTTGGAGGTTGCTTACCATCAGAGCAACCCCTCTTATCTAAATGAACACTTATTTTAGACCAAAATAAAAATGTAAAATAATTACTTTTTTTAGACCAAAATAAAAAGATAAAATGATCACTTGTTGAGAAGTGAGGAAGTATATAACAATTAGTACCAAAGATACCCACTAATGACTTTGTCATTTTCCTAGTCTAAAAATCCTTGCTCCGAGGATAGGCATCTTTCACATCATTATATGTGCGCATCTTAAGAAGTGTGAAACAAAGCAACGTCCTTGGCTAACTCATACACCNTAGCACTGCCACTTCTCTACTGGGGTTTCAACTTGCTCAAGCGTCAGCCAAAGGAAACAAAACTAGTGTTTTATGTCCATGACTATTTAAGTGGGCATGACACATCTGCAATCACTGTAGCAGGAAAAGATTGGCCGCAAGCTAGTGTTCTTCATTTTGGGACAATGGTTGCAGTGGATGATCCAGTAACTGAAAGTCCAGATCCAAAGTCCAAAGAGATTGGTAGAGCTCAAGGTATGTACATAAATTCACAGTTAGATGGCAAGGGACTGCACTTGATGTTTTCTGTTATTTTCACTCATGGGGAATTCAAAGGGAGTACTTTGGAGATTCAAGGTGCTGATCTTTTTGCAATGAAGGAGAGGGAATTCTCTATTGTCTCAGGGACTGGTTTTTTTAGATTTGTTAAAGGTTATGGCATTATGACAACTCACTTTATTGATATTCCTAATCTCAAAGCCATTCTTAAGCTTCATGTTACTGTCAAGCACTATTGACTTTTCCTAGTTTATGTCAAAGTTTTCATGTATTCTGCCTCTTTTTCCTAGAATCAAATTCGAGGCTACTTTTTTTCTACTTACTCAAATGACTATTAATTATTGCAGTGAGATGACTATTAATTGAATCAAGAGATGTATTTCATGAAGTATTAATTTTTAAAAAATAAAAATTAATATTATTAAGCAAAGCTTTAACCCTAAGTACTATAATGAAAGACTGGCTGAGGAAATAAGGAAGGAGATTTCAACCTAAACATAATAACTTGAAAGAGAAATAGTCATGTAAAAACAGTCTCACTACAAAATTGTGTGGACTCCAAAAGAAAGTGGCACAAATGAATTGCACAGAAATACGGCATCCGTGGGAACTAAGATAAGCTAAGTATGCACACAACAAGGGGGCAGAAAGACCAGGAAAAGTAATAGCTTACGTTTAAAGAAAGCTTAGAAGGAACGAAAAGAGTTATTCGATTAATGATCCAGGGTTAGTTACGTCATGAACGCAGTTAAAAATTCAGAGTATTATCCATGCAGCATATATGTTGACAATCAAATAGCCGTAGAAGACTCCGGTATAAGTTAAAAGAAAGAATTGAGCCCAGGTCATAGACAAAGGATTCAATTGTTAGAAAATTGTATCACGGATATCCCAGAGCATCCATGAAAGGCTAAAGTGATAATTAATACCATAAGCCGCAGATTGGAAGATAGCTTAAGCCTACATAAAGAGTGATCAGAAGGGAGAGGAAACTAAAGAGTTACATCAACGAAGTAAATCAGGAGTCTGATTATTGGACCCAGAAAATTATAGAAATCGTGATTGAGAACATTACAGAATCACTCTTAATATCATAGGTACAAGAGAGATAGTACAGTAGCCATATTTTATAACGGCTATACAATAAAGCCAGTTAGAAGAGTACCAGCCTTATAAGAAGTCAGCTTGAAGCTCTCACTGGAATGTGTATGCACCAGAGGTGCAAGTATTATAATAGAACTTCAAGTTGTGGATGTGAATTATACCTATGTGGAAGGGAGATCATGAAAAAGATAGAAGATGTGACGCAAAATTTTAAGGTAAGTAAGGTAAAGTTGAACAACATACGAGATACTCAAATGTAGAAGGTTGTGAATAGTCCATACTTCAGATAGAAGGCCAGAAGCACTGAACTCAGTATTGAAGAATGATAACAACGTCGTCAGTGGAATATCTTCGAGCCTATGGTTTCTAGGTACTGAGCGACCTAGTTAAGAGAGTAAAGAAGAGTTTGAGACGATGTGATGTCTCGCTTGATGTTCCAGAATAACATAAGAAAATCTATTGTGCAAGAAAGTTGAAGGAAGGTTGCAAGCAGTATAAATGGATATGTGTAGGTTGCAAGCTAAAGTATGGTCAAGCGACAAGGTTTAGGAAGACATGAGTAAGGATAAGGAAAAGCAAGTGAGAAGGTGACGAGAATGGATAAGTCCTCGGGATTTAGCCCATGAAAACAAGAGAGCTGATGGTTTCTCTAAGTTATAGAAAGTTCAGTATAGCCTGAATTAACTCAAAGGAGTCCATGGCTAATAGCATTTGTGTCACACCCTAAAATCAAGGAGCGCGACCGGCAACCGAGTAAACCCGACCGAGCAAGTCTGTTAGATTTCATTCTACCCAAACTAGTTCATGAATAAAGAGGAGATGAAAGAAAATATTTCATTACAACTTCCATTTCATTTCCATTAAAAACTTTATTCATATTAACAAAATATTACACGTTTATAGATTTAATGGAAAACGTATTTTGCCAAATACCAACATTTCTAGTTTCACTTCCAACATGAAGCACCACCCACAAACTATCTACGGAGCCTCTAAGTACAACCGAAGAATGATAAGGAAATACTGGCAACAAGGCTCTGGCTATACTCAAAACATGATAAGAAAATGAACAAAAGATACATGTCTTGACCTCGGGATGAAGTGGGGTTCACCAAGTCTGCTGGAAAGAGAATACTACTATCACTGATCGATACCACCTGCTGTGGGACTACCTGTATCAATTAAAGATACAGTGTCCTCGGCAAAAGGGACGTTAGTGCTATCGAATAATACTAGTATGTATATCTAAAAGTCCTCTTTAAAAAAATGTCCATATAAGCAAAGACAACACATAGAACCAGCAAGTCACAATCAACAATATCTAAATAACCAATTGAAACATAACGATTTTCAAAGTACGAAAATAGTATATATATAGTTGGGAGATTATTAGCACTGATATTCCACCGTCTTTGTTAGCACAGAGTCCGATCACGCCCGATCGGCTAGGCCATCTCCCCACGGACAATGTGGTTTGACATGATGATGCGAAATAATGTTGTTACAAGAGCAGTACCACCATGTGCACAACATGGAGTCTGATCTCCACCTCAGCTAGGACGCCTTCCCACATATACCGTGTGGGTTGACTTTTCCAATTCACATTTGTTACCAGGTTCATCCCAATTGAGGGGAATAATTATAATTTTACCAATATTCCAATTTTATCTCATATAAGGGGAAATAATCACAATCCACCCCTACATCAGCACGTGTAGTTTCAGGTGTGGGCCTTATGAACCACCCTTCCTCGGTTTTGCTAATGATACTCCCAAAAATATTTTTAGTTTGATTTGCACACAAGGGTAACACATATATAGAAATGAATTCATCTCAGAATCTTTCACATTGTACAAATCTTTATTAGTATTTTCAACCATCCACATTAACAATATTTCCTTGGATCTTTGGACCTTTCACAAGATTTTTTTTATTCATGGATCGATGGCCGCATTTTATATTCCATATTCACTTCTTTTAATTTCAAGGGTCATTACCAATTACCAACATATAAAGTATTTCAAAAATCATATACCTCAGGTTCATTAACAATGGAAACTTTAAACACAAAAGGTTTCTTCCCAAAGATTGGGCATACCAACCAGTAATAGAAACACACATCAAAGCTATAAACAAGCACTACACTAATTATTCTTGAATTACTCTTTCCCAATCATGACAATGTATAATTTTAACAACGGAGTATGTAAGAACTCGGGCACAATGGAAGTATTTATAAGGCAAAGCATTATCTAAAACAACCACTTATGGGCATGAATTAAGTATAAGAGCTTTTAGGCAAATTCTACTTTTAGAAGTCATTTTGAAACAGTTGAGTCGAGGCTCATTTCATAATCTTTTTCACGTTTTCTCATTTCATTTTTAAACATCTTTATAGATTATCAAAAACAAGGCGTACTCAATCAAGATATTTGGTACACATAAGAGCAATTAGGAGTATTATGCACATCGAATTTTCCTCACCCAATTGGTATACTAGTTTTCATTTAAAATACAACTCAAAGCCACACCATTTTAATAAGCAAACCATACTTTGAACATCTAGCTTTCGATATAAGGCTCATTTGGAATAATCAAGTTTATAAGTTTATAGGGGATAACTTGAAATGTAGAAATTAGAGATTTTGGGCCGATTATACTTAAACTTACTGAAACATTATGGGATTCAAGTCCGAGAGAGAAAGTTTAGCCAACATACCTTGTTTGAGCTCTCTTTAAGTTACTACAAAGCACCAGCACTTCTAGCGATAACAATCTATAGGAAGATAGTGAACGTTGGTTAATAATTAGAAGGATTCCCAAGATGTAACTCTCTTAGGGATTTTGTCAAACACTTATCATGCAAAATAGACTAGAAGGCTCTAAAATTGTAATCCCTTCCTCTCTCAACAGATTTAAACAAGAAACTACCTACAATGGTTCCTTAATCCCACACACTACAACCTAGTATCATGTCACGACCCAGATTTCCCACCCTTGGGAGTCATGATGGCGCCTACTCATGAAAGCCAGGCAAGCCAACTATTAGGGTTCTACACATTAACAAGCAATCCAAACAGTTATAAATAGAAACTAAAGTTAAACAGATGATAAATACGGAAGAGTTATAACATGATCGAATAATCCAATACAAGTCTACCCAAGGATCTGGTGTCACAACTTCATGAACATCTACGAGTTATTACAAATACTGGTCTGAAAAGAAAGTACAACTGTTCTCGGAAATAAAAGAGATAGCAGAAAAGCTAAAAATAGGGAAGGGGGACGTTAGGCGCGGACATCAGCATATCTACCTTAGTCTCCCTGGAATGAAGGCAGCTACCTCCAACTACTCACCGGGTCCGGTACCGAAATATGCACAAAAGAGTGCAGAGTGTAGTATCAGTACAACCGACCAAATGTACTGAGTAAGTGTCGAGCCTAACCTCGGTGAAGTAGTGACGAGGCTAGGACACAACAATCATATATATCTGTACAGTTAAATCATATACAAATAGAATCATAATAATAGGAATCCACAGAATAAGGTGGGAAGGGGACATGCTGCGGGGAATAACAGATTCTAACAATAAGCCAATGAAGAAGCATAATGAACATCACATCTATATCAACAAGGATAATGAAATGGTAACACGTGCATGACATCACCCTTCGTGCTTTTACTCTCGTCCACACCATATGAAGTAACAGATACGGCACGACATCACCCTTCGTGCATTACCTCACAAAATCATGGCATGACATCACCCTTCGTGCATTACCTCACAAAATCATGGCATGACATCACCCTTCGTGCATTATTTCTCACAATATTGGCACCACATCACCCTTCGTATATTAACTCTCAAATCATGGCACGTCATCACCCTTCGTACATTATCACTCATAATATCGGCACGACATCACCCTTCGTGCATTACACTCACTCACAATATCATACACGGCATCACCCTTCGTGCTTTACACTCTTCCTCACCCAAACAATAGAAGCAATAAGTCCTGACAAGGGAATCAACAATATCAACAATAGCATCCCGGCAAGGGAATCAACAATATCAACAATAACATTCCGATAAAGGATTCAGCTATAACCAATCTCGTGTTCAACAATATC